CGCGACAACTACACATCGGTTCTTCGAGCTCTTGTTATCCCATACACTACTCGAAGAACTGACGTGTAGTTGCCGCGGGAGGAGGCCTGGAAGAGCCAAAGTAGGTCTTACGACTATACTTACCATGAAGAAGTAAAAAGTGCTAGAGACTTCGTTGTTGCATCATACGAACAAACTTGGAAGCCGCTTTCATTTGAATATAAAAAAAGTTATGTTTTGTTAGATTTTTAGCTGGTCTAACACGCTATACGACGACCCCGGTCGATGATTAGAACTGTCGTGTACGATCGTATATTATAACAAATATTGCAGCATACGACGGTGGATATTGCAGTATACGTCAAAATACGACGGTACTTACGGCAAAATACGATGAAGTAATGCGAGGAGAAGGATTACATCATCGTATTTTGACATGATCATTTACAACGATCGTATACAGTATTTCAACGTAAACGACCTCGTTTACGATGGACGTAATACGTTGGCCCGGTTTACGTCAAAATACAACGAAATACTATCTCATTTCGAAAAAAGAGCATGATAGTTTTGAGTAGAAAGCTTTAAAAATCAGTTCCCCTTAGCAGAAGTGACGCTTAACAAGCAAAAAGCAAAAACCAGTATCTAAAAACATGAAATTCCGAAAGTTTTTTAAAATAATTCTCGAGGCTCATATTCTATATCCCGAAAAGGATATTTTACTTTTTTATGATTTAGAGGTGTTTTAGAGCTGTAATTTTTTAATAAATCCGATAATTGTTTTTTCCTTGAATATGGATGATTTGAAGAACATTATACTCTTGCAATAAAATTGAGATTCTGTTGGCCAACGTATTGCGGAGAGTTCTGTTTTGCATTCCGTCCATTGATTGTGATGGTAAAAAGTTTCTTATAATCGATGATTTATAGCGCCGTATTTTCTAAAGAGCCACACAACAAACCTAAAATTTGAATCTAAATTAATTTATAAAGCAATTGAATATAATTGTTTTCATGGTGGTAAACAACGTAAACGGAGCAAAGGTCTAAGGCCACATCAGCATTATATGGCCTTAGATTGTGAAGCTAGAATTCGTCTGTATAATGCCGATGGATTTCTAAAAATCACAAAATTAGAACTGAGTCATAATGATCAACCTGATCCTCAAAATTTGAAATATTACTCTAGTCATCGTTGTTTCGATAAGAAAGCAATCGAAGTCATTAAATCATTTGACAAACATCAAGTCCCACGCACCATCATCCGCAACATGATAATGAGCGCAAATAAAACAAAATTTACTACTGTAAAAGATATTTCAAATGCATTAAATAAAGTAAGAACGAATAATTTACCATCACAAGCAATACACAAAATTCTTAGCGATATAAAAGCTTTAGATACTGTAAGTACTTAGCTACTGTTAATGTTCATATCACACAGGTTAATGAGTTGAATATACATTTATTGCTACATCTAACATGCAACAGAATTTCCAAAAAAATTTCATCAAATAATATTTTCTGATGCTACCTGTAGCTGAATATTGAGAGATATTTATTATATATCTTCACTGTTCAAGACAGTCGAGGATTAGGTGAGTGTATGATTATGATTCTAGAAATCTAATAAAATCGGAAATCTCTAACTTTGTAGGAAAAAAGTCACTGTGATTTTACACTAAAGAAGTGGATTTGACCTAGCTTGTGTAGCCTCTCCTAACTACAGTCGCTAAAATGGAACAGTGGCCTTGGTTTCAAATGCCAGAGAGTCTCATACTATAGACTCAATTTAAAAAAATTATGCCACTCCGACTGTTGAAAAAAAAATTTCTGAATAACAGAACTTTCTAGAAATCCTGAAAGTTCGTTTCGAAAGCTTTTCAACCATTTCATTAGATACTCTGTTGAGATTTTTACAAACCATAAGTCAGTGAAGTGAGTGAGTACACCTTTTGGCCCGAGTGCCAACTCTAAAAGTAAATTGCTTCGTGTTTCGTCCTGAGCAGAAAGCGAATGGCTTTGCAAAATATATTTGGAAAGAGTAGGCAGAACTGCGTAAGATAATATGTGAACGCACTCTAGAAGACGTTTCGTTAAGATTTGCGATCACATTCTTTGAGTGCCATTCAAAGTCAAGGAAAACTTTTGGTTTTACTTCTTTTTCGAAAGCAAGGGCCCTTCAAAACTGCGAGATATCTAAAAAATTCACCATGAAATTCTGCACAAACCCGTATAAAATGGGCTCAAAATATGCTAATTTTCTTAACCGGTGGTGTCCTTTTCACGTTAAAAAAACTACCCAGATTT